AATCTGTCGATTATTCTGATGATTAATCAATTAGTCGGATAAGAAAAGTCGGCATATTGTGCAGATCTTTTTAAAAATTAAACTATGATATTAGCTTTTTCTATGAAAATATTAGAACTGCATAACAAGACAGAAATTAGAAAATGATTAAATTCCTTTTTAAAATAAGAAACAAACATTTTATTGCCTAAAAAGCAACAACAATGAATTTGAACCAGGTGAATATTTAAAAAATGCCTCTTGAGGAGTTTTGGGTGAAACATATCAACAGACAAAGAGGAAATATATGGATTTCAAATGTGAAATCCATATATTTTTTCTACATATTTGGCTTAATTTCTGTTCTAAATGTGTTGATTTGTTTCGCAAATCGCAGACTCTTTTTGAGTCTGTGTACTCGTGTTAATGATTAATTGGTTAATCATTATTGAAGTAATCTCGATTACTTCAATAATTGAAATTAAAAAGGTTAATTAGCGCGTCTCTCACCAGTGGTACCAGTCGTCACAATCGTCACATCCAATCATTGGGCTGCCGTCATCCGGTTTGTTACATCCAGGACAAATCCAGATTTGATTTCCCCATTCATCCCGGATCTGGGACACAAACGGACACCACAGAGGATTCCCAAGGGGTTCAACTTAACAGCTATTATGCAGATTTATTAGATTCACGCAAAACGATTAATTATTTTTAAGGTACAATAATTCATAGTTCTCCAAACAACACTGCGGTAAAATACGGTATGGAAACCCACCACGTAAGTACTGACGGTCTCGGTTACGACGCTGCGGACCGGTGGCTTGACGGAGGCTGCAGGGGGCAGCATAGAGGGCAGAGGCAGCAGAGACGCTGGTGGGGCAGGAGCGGGCTGCAGCGGGGAGGCGGGCGGCAGAATGGGAACCACTGGGGGGAGAACCGGCGGAGGAGGCGGCGTCCGGGGACGGTTCCCGGGGGCCGACTTGGCAGCAGGAGTCTTGGTTCCTGGGGTCTTGGGCTCCGAGTTTGGAACCACTTTGCTGATGACGCTGGAGAAACAAACCCAGGTTAGCGTGAACCGCCGGACATCTTTGTGTGACGGTTCTGGGCTGCTCTGCATCCACTCAACCAGAACCAAACATGGAGGAGCAGCATTCGGTTTCTACGCTCCATTAAAGTGGAACAAACTTCAGGAAAACTGCAAAACTGCTGAAACAATGAGCTGAAAACTCAGGTGATAATAACTGGAACATTGATCCATATTTTTCATATATATTTGCTTGATGATTTTGATGGTGGCATTTGACAAAATTCAATGTTTATTGCTGTTTCATAATTGGTTACTGTATTATATTTTTATAGTTGTGCTTGACTTTGTCACAAAGTTCATTTAAAAAACTGAACTCTACCACCAGAGATGAGTTTTGGTAAATATATCAAAACAACCTAAAATCTACTTTAATTCCAGAAAAGAAAAGGTGAAAATATTTAAATTGCAGACAAGTTTGTAAAAAATTCATAGAAAGTTAGTGGAGGGAAAAAGTGTGGTAGAAAAAAAAAAGAGCAGAGGCTGCAGGTATCTTTATGTGTGAGGTACTGTGTAATGAATCGATGCGACAATTCATTTCCACACTTGAATTGAATAACCTGACTTCAATTGAACTATTCAACAATTTGATTTATTGAGATTCGCCTGTGATATACAGGTAATCCAAGAGACTACGGGTTTCTGGATGGAATTGGGGATTGTGGGAAACGTCGGCAGACTTACATTTTGTCCTGACCTGCTCCCACCCTGAGGGTCAGCCGGGGAATGACTGGAGACGGCAAGACGACTGGAGTCTCCATCTTCACCTGGGATGGCACCAGCAGCGTTACCGTTAGCAGCCGCCGCACAAACAACAACAAACAAACAAACACAAGCCAACGGTTACCTTCTCTAGACGAATCTTCTCCTTCTCTTTTTCCTTCTCCCGTTTCTCCTTTTCTCTCTCCTTTTCCTTCCTTTTCTCCTCCTTCTCCCTCTCCTTCTCCTTGGCCTTGTCTCGCTCCTTGTCCTTGTCTTTCTTCTTCTTCTTCTCCTTCTTGTCTCTTTTCTTCTCCTTCTCCTTGCTCTTCACCTCCTTGTCGTGCAGGATGGGCGCTAATGACGGCAGCATGGGGGCAACCGCAGGCAGGTCGAGGGGCTGAACAGCGGCGGGAGGTCGCTGAGGGAAAAGGTCGACAGCGCCGACTGTTTCTGCTTGTCCTCCTTGTTCCTGTCTTTATTCTTCTCCTTTTTGTCTTTGTCCTTCTTGCTTTTCTCTTTGTCCTTCTTCTTGTCTTTGTGTTTATCCTTCTCCTTCTTGGTGCCCTCTCCGTCTCTTGATTTTATTTTGACGGGGACCTCCGGCAGGGTGAACTCTCGCGGCATGAAGAGGTCGTCACCCTTGACATCCTTCCAAGGCATCTTGAGCTCCTTGGCGAACTCCTTGTTCTTGTCCCTGTTTTTCTCCTTGTTCTTCTCCTTCACCTTGCTCTTGTCCTTTTCCCGATCTTTGTCCTTCGGCTTGTCTTTCTCCTTCTTCTTCATCTTGGTCTTGAGGTCCTTCTTTAGCTTCTTCTTCACATCAGGCGGTGGCAGCGTGATCTTGCTCTTCTCCTCGAACACCTTGAGCAGCGGCTCTGGGGTGGGCGGAGACGCCGATCCCGACGACACATACTCGGCTGGGATGGGGGGAGGAAGGGGAGGAAGAGGAGGATGTGGGGCCGACGGACCGCCCTGGTTGGCTTTGCGGACAACTTCGTTGATCGAATCGTCCAAAGTCCAGTTCCCGAGGCCGACGTGGGCGTGTGGGTGAAGCGGCGTCGAAGTGTCCTTCATGAAAGCGGCGATGGCGGCGGGAATCTTGGGCGTGGACGGCTCCATGATGGTCAGCCTCCTGGGGCTGGAGAAGCCGTTGCTGTCTGAGTCAGAGCCAGAGGAGAAGGCAAAGGGGTCGGGCTCGCGCTCGGCGCACGCTCTGGCTATCACGGCGTCGATAGAGTCGTCGATGGCCGTGTTGTCAGGCTCCAGCTTCTTGAACGAGACTTCGGGGAACTGGGGGTCGTCGTCGACCGGACGCTGGTGGACGATATCCTTCCCCATCCTCTCGCTCAGAGCGGACAGCTTGTGCAGAGCTTCCGCTTTGATCTGAGCTGGAGGCGCTTTAAGCGAGCCCATCTTCGGGCTCTTTGGGCTTTTCGGACTCTTGGTCCTGCCCGGGGACTTTTTCCGCTCCTTAGAAGGTTTTGGAGAGTGTATGGGACTGCCTGCGACCGCAACAGGAAGCGCCCCTTTCGGGGACTTAGTTCGTTGCCTGCCGGGGACGAGACCTTAGGCTTTCTAACCGGGACGGCGAGCGCCTTCTGGTCCGAGTGTTTGGGTAGGACCGGCAGAGGCCTGAAAGGAGGCAGGGGCCCGGATGGGGTTTCAGGCGAAAGGGGGTCGAGGCTGTCGTGGGAAGGCAAAATGCCTGGCGGGACGCGCTGAGTGTTGAGGGAGGTCAGGGGCTCCCTGGGCTCCACGCCCCACTCTGGGCTGAGACCAGGGTACATCCGTGGCCTCTTGGAGGTGGGCATCATGCCAGGGCCGCGTCGGGACTGTCCAGGTGTCTCTTCAGCGGGTGGTTTTCGTCGTTGACCATTTCGTCTTCGTCTATTTCATCCTCGTCTTCTTCCAAGGCCACCTGCATGGCCTCAGCCGAGGTCCCCATGTCAGGAGGAACCTCTTCCTCCTCCTCTTCTGCTGAGAAAAGACAAAACAAACCAAATAAGCAACTCTAGCAACCTTAAAACCCATTTCTAACCCTGGAAAGGTTGGTGTGTAAATTTGTGAACATCTTGTCAGAAAATGCACAGGTGACAACAGGGCTTTTGAGAGCATTAAAGAAAAACATCAGCATGTTCACTCATTTTAAAACCCAATCTATGTCACTTTGAGTTGTGCAACATGCAGCTTAGAGAATTCATTTTCTGAATCAACACCATTAGACTAACTGGGCATGTATAGCAGTATAAGATGAGCCTTTATGATGTGAAAGAGCTTTTGTTCACTGCACGGTTATAAAAACCCTGAAACACTCAGAGCACAGAAGGCAGCAAAGACAGTCAAATTTACTCCAAAGAAAAAATGACGGACTCACCCTTTAAATTGGATTCCTAAAACAAATACCAGCACAAGTTTAATTTGCAAACTTGGAGCAGAGTGTTGCAGACCTTAACAAGCCGCACCTATTGGGAACCCTGTTGGCGGATGCACCTCCTTAAAGATTCCCATTTAATAAATCAACACAGTGATGGTAAAGATGCTGGGTCAGCTGGGCCTCAGATATATTTGGAGAAAAAGACCAATACATGTTAATTTTAGAAAAAGCCCTTAACACGGGAACTTTAAATATCCAAACTAATCATGATAACCAAGAATAATAAATAAAAACAACTTACAATGGAAACCAGAAATAAAATGGATTATGAAGTTTCTACAAACAAAATTAACCTTCAAGAAAATAATCTGCAGAATTGAAAATAATTATTGAGCTTCAGGCTCACTTTCAATCATTTGATGGCAGCTATCGCCATCAAGGGTGAAGCAACCAGTTATTGGGTGATGGTTACACTGTAATAACAGTCCATCTTGGTTGGACAGATTATTTCCTTTATAAATGAAAACAAGTCATCAGAAAATCAACATTGTAGTTGGTCTCATTATCTTTGTTGTAAAAACTTGCACTGTGTTCAGAAACATTTGAAACAGAAGAAATCTGGAAGGGAGAATGACTCTTTTTTCACAGTATTGCAGTCACCAAGCATGCTGACCTTCTTGTAAGGAGACCAGAGGCGGCATGTGCTCTGGGATATAATCCTTTCTCTCCTCTGCATCTCTGACTCCAGGCTGAGGAAACTGCAGGACGTTGTTCTTGTTGAGAGGAAAGAGCGGCGTCTGATGGGTGAACGCCACGGCCTCCAGGTTGACGTAGTCTTCCAGTTCGCTCAGGTTGACCCCCATCAGTCTGAAGGCCTGGCTGAGATCGTCCAGAACCGGATCCGTTCTTCCGTCTACAGACACGGGATCAAAACAAGAAGGTAAACCTTTAATCTGTCAATTTAGGGTTGGATAATCTGACTGAAAGCAGAAGCTGGAGATGATCAACACGTTTTAGAGTGACCTAAATGAACACTTCAGAGAAATTACACAAACCAAAAGCGTGTTACTCTTGTTGTTAGTGAAAATAACTGTAAAGTAAGCATAGTGACCACTGAGGTGCGTGGAAGCCGGTCAGGGATTCAGTTGCTGTACTTTTTGACACATCAACCTCCGCTAGGGGGCGCTACTGAAGGGAACAAGTCAACAACAACGTGATCGACAACTTCTGGTTTATTGGAGCAAAAGAAAGTCATCAGAGTATGAAACAGAGAACTTACACAGCTCAGAGTAGCGATGGCAAACCCTTTCCAGCTGCTGGATGTACCTGTGTAGCACATCGGACAGCAGATCGCAGGCTGTGAGCTGCACCGCATCCCAGCCCAGAGCCTGGCAGATCTGCGCCACCGAAACACGCAGCAGCGAGCGGGCATAGTTCTCGCACATCTCGCTGGCTTCGCTACGGTGATCAATACCCCTCAGTTCCGTTTGAAAGACATGCCCCCGGTCTTCATGTTTCACCTAACCCCCAACGGACCAAGCGAAACCCACTATCTCGGTTAGTTTGGGACATTTACTTTAGTAGATATATTGGCGCTATCGCCAGAGCCGCCATCTTGATTCCATCCCGGAGGTCTAGTCTGCACATGCGCAAAAGTGATGGTTAGTCAGGGATGGGAATTGGGTAGATTCGAAGAGATCCGAACCTTTTGGCTAAAGTCAGCAAAGCCAGATGAATGTTTCGGGTTTTTTTCTAATTAGGTCTGATTTTATTTAATTTGCCTTTAGTTTAGGTAGACTGTTGCATATATGGACAGTCTCCGTATACACTTCAGGATGTCACACACACACCCACAAAACAAACAACAATCTATAACATATATGTCTCTTTCCATCAAATATGCTGTCTATAAATGATTCCTCACCTTGATTCATCCTGGTGATCCTCATCTTGGCTTCAGTAATTTTTTAACTCACTCCATTTTTTTTTATCCCAGATTGATTGATTTTATCATCACAGTACGCAATGATCACACAGTGTAACACTGCACTTCCTTTGTTATTTTTTTTCTTTTTTTATAATGAGCTTTAACTCCTTATGATAGGCGAGTGAGACACGGAGCTTAAGGCAGAGTGACAACTGGCTATCCTTCATTAGTGTGTGATTAATATTAATGTCACGTGTGAAAAAAAATGGTCATCGGTCTCGGACACGAACCGACCAATCCAGTCGGCTCAGTCCCGAACAGCACACCGTTTTTGCACCTTCTATAGTCTTCCACAAGGTGGTGCTGGATTATTCTGAAAAATAAGGCCCAGTGATTTGTAGTGACATTAAAACCGACATTAAATGCTTCCATTTAGCAACACCTACATGTTTCAGATCATCAAACAATTTTACTGTTAGACAAAGACAAATATTAAACTGCGGTTTTCAAATGATGAATTGAACACTTGAATGGTACTAATATCAAGTGGGATAAAATACTTCAAAAAGCATTGTGCCCAGATCCAAGAAAATTGAAAAGCAGATGAGAAAAAAAAAATCACAGATTCATTCCATCTGTCTGAAAATGGTAACCAACAGACGACAGTAAAAGCGATAATCTAGAAATGGAAAAAAAAAACACAAAACTGCGGCAAACCTTCCCAGCAGTGATTCAAATACTAAAATTACTCCAGTACATTGTGAACTCATTTAGGAGGTCAAAGAATAACCAAGAATTACATCTAAAACACTTCAAATCCTCCCATTCCCACAATTCCCAATTTTCAGGATTAGCATTAATACATACAGAATAAAAGTAGTCAAGGGAAAAAAAATTATCTGAATTGATAGCAACCCTGCATATAGAAGGGGTTTAAACGATGGCTAGACATTGCTCAACCCTGACGCCATCAATACTTTGAATATGTTTATAGCATTTCTGCATCTGCCGTTTATCAATCAGTCACCATAAAACCGAGACATGCCCAAGATGCCTGAAGACATAAATCAAGCAAGAAAAGCTGACATTATGGTAAATATTCAGTTGAATATTGAACCTTCTTTAGCCCGATTATGACCTCAAACTTAATATATTCTGTTAGGATTTTATGTAATGAACCAAGACGCAGCGCATAAATGTAAAACGGAAGAAAAATGCAAGGGATTTTCTATGAGGGAAAATGAATGGATTAATGGTGTGGATTTGTGTTTATCCCTCCTGACTCCAATACAACTTGTGCCGCAATTTCTGTAGGTCTTTGGAATGTGTCTCTTCTTCAAAACATCACTCCTGACCTGTCCTTGTTCTAATGCTTTTTATATGATGCTGTTTGTTCACCAATATTCTCTAAAATGTCACTGATACCTTTAGAGAACACCTGGAGTTAAAATGAAATTGCAGCCATGGTGGACTATCCAAGTTTCAGAGTATAATTTGATGGATACAAACAGCACAATTTTGAGATTTATATTTGTAAAAGAACATTTAACCATTTATCATTTTCCTTCTTTACTATCATGCTCTGCTTAGTTATGGTCTTTCCCAAAAAAGAACACTGTCATAATAACTTGGGGTATTTCAATGCTTCCTCAAGGCGCTACACAAGTGTCGCACAAAGCACAAAATAGAGCGATTTGTTTCAGAAATCATTTTTAATCAAGCAAAGTGACACGAGTTGGAAATGAAAGCTCTTTCTTAAAGTCGTCTTTACATGTTTTATAAACTTACCCGGTGCTGAAAAATACATTTCCGGACTGTGCAGGAACCCCACATTATCTTTTGGTGTGGTGCCTTTCAAGTTTTCCGCAGGTGCAACGACCGGGTGTAAAGCCCAGGTCCTGCACATAAACTCTAAAACTGAACTTTAAATGCTTGATACAAATGGGTTTCTTCAAGTTTCTGAAAAATGTATATTTCGAAGAAAAATAGTTGTCGAACATTAAGAAAATAGAAGTCATTCTAGATACAAAACCGGGGTTTTAAACCGGTTTAAACACATGAAACCCAACATAAAAACTTTAGATATTAGCAGGTGGTGCTCTAAATAAAGTCAGAAAATACTGTACAAGTGTCATCTTTAAATATGTAATGCTAATAAAAAAGGACAAAATTTAGCTTTCTTGCTTGAAAAACAATTATGAACAACATGAAAATCATTTGTAAGTGGATTTACTTTACAATGTACAATGCTGAATTAAGTTACAATACAAACTGCATTTAAACAGCACAGCTGCCAGCGTCTTGGCAAATACAGCCAATCTATCCAATAACTGAATCATTACAGAGGCTATACAGAAACATGAGCGGAACAGCCTGTTGAAAGATAAACTGACAACTGTTACCTACAAAAGAAACTCAACAGTTAAGTTAAAAGATTAGCTACTCATATTTTAAATAACCATGACTGGTGGCTTTTCAATACACAAGTACAAAGAGCTTTCGATTGCCTCGTGTTTCAGAGAGTGAACCTGATCATCAGTTCGAGCGTTTTCAGTCAAACTCTGAATATTTCTGCTGAAGACTTTGTCAGAAAAGTGTTCAAAGTCATTGTCAAAATCCCATTCTTCTCAAAGGCACTCTCTGTCGTTGCATCTGGAAAAAGAAGGAAGCCATATTAGAGCTTTTGCAGAGAGTAGCAAGAGAACATGGCCTCAAGAGAAAGAAAACCCAAACTCCATAATTTACTGGATTTCAAGTAAAACGGACTGTGAATAGTTGCTTTTGGATGCCACTCTTAAAGCAACGTTTCTCAATACCTTCTGCTTTCTGGACACATTGAAGCACCTGGTTCAAAAACAAGTTCAAGACCTTAAATCAGACCGTTTCAGGTCAAGACCAAAATGATTTATTCTAATTCAGAGGTTTAATCTTTGGAGACAGGTCCTGTTGTCTGACAGAACTAAAATTGTTGAGTTGATTTCAACAGTCATCTTTATATTTGGAGGAAAGCCGGGAAGTCTGCAAACACTTCCCAACAGTGACGTGGAGGAGGGACAACATGGTGTGATGGGAGTTACAACTTCTGCAAAACTGGTTTCAAAGTGGCTTGAGGACAACAAAGTTAAGATTTTTGAGCTACCGTCACTTAGTCCCAATCTCAGTATGATTGAAAATAGAAATAAAAATAAACTGAAAAGATGTGTGGGTCTTAAAACTTTGGTGATCCAACCTAACTTAAAACAGGGAAAGTTTTGTTTGGGTTGGCTACATTCAAATTACAAGACATCTAAAACCAACAAAAAGTGTCAGACATAGTTTCTCACCAGTTATAAAAACAAGAAAACGAGACGATACGTGTTGGGCTTGCAGTCGGAGCAGACATGCCAGGTAATCTGGTTGATCTCTAGTCATCTGGTCACACTCATGGTAAGGCAAGACATCCGTTATACCAGCATCTTGGCACCAGTACATCAGCAGCTTCTTCTCGTTTGCTTCTTCACTCAACCTGGATTAAATGTTCGGAAAGGTAAAAGGTTAACATAAGACTATCTTTAAGACAGTCTGTCTGGCATTTAAACAGATAACTGTTGCAAAACATAAAGAAAAACAAAGTTGAAGTGAGTCATATTGAGGTTTTAAAGTCACATTCACAAATATTCACAATAGGACCAATTGACACGTCATTTGGCGTGTTAATGCTGACACATGATTGTTCTGTTTCATTGCCCATGAAACAAAGCAATGAAACTTAGAGAATTGTTGTCCAAAGCTACTAAAACAAAACCCTGTTCCTTTATCCTTTCGGTATTCACATTTCAACAACAAACAAAAGTTGCACAACAGGTCAGACTGCAGAGCTGTTGTGAGCCTCTAGCTAAAATAACGTGCTCAGCAGTACTTTGCCTTTATAAAATCACAAGGTTTGAGGTCAGATGACGACAAATTGACAAAACAAAGTAAACCACCAAAGAAGTGTCCTAAGTTTCCTTGTGGTGCAAAAGGAAAATGGTGCA